AGTAAAAAGAAGGAAAGCAGAAGATTTGAGTCATATCATATTTAATTCTCTCTTTAACCCATAATTTTATGAAACGAATGTGATTTATTATTTGGGGCTCTGTATTTGCTCAGCACATCTCTCAATTAATGCAAATCCTGACAATTTACTAACAATTCTGACTTTTTGTTGTTGTTGTGATAGGAACCAAAACCCTCACTGTAAACCATAAATATCCCCTTCCATTATAGGCCAGATTCATTCTAAAGAGTTGGCTATATATCAGCAATTTCATCACACCTAGACCCCAGCAAAAATAAACAATAGAAACTCTAAAGCTCATTTGAAAATATTTGAAAAGGAATTTAAAACCCCCAGCACAGTGTTATGGCAGCTCAGCTTCTAAAGCACACAGCAGCTGTTGCCGGCTGGCATCTTAGGAGCTTCAAAGCCTGCTCTCTACTTTCCTTCTTTCATACCATAGCCATCTTTCAGAGTTCTTGATTTTGGTTCCCCTCCTCATGTTGTTACAATACTCCCAATGACCGACAGTCTCCAATGGCCACTAGTATCTGAAACCCTAAATGGCAACTAGTATGCCTGCTAGGAAACAGGTATACTTAACTCTGAGACTCTAAGCTTCATGGTTTTGCTAAGCTTAAACTACAACCAAAAAAGTGTGCTTGAACTAAGAATTCACTAAGCGAATAATTATATCGAAAATATAGATTCCTACCTACAAAGCAAAGAAATGGCTTTTTTCCAACAAAAATGAGTTTGTCGTCTATGTCAACTGTCAGATTGTCAGAGGTGTGCTTATTATCCATGTAGAAAATTACTCATTTTCTTTCCTTTTTTTTTTTTTTTTTGGAGATGGAGTCTCTCTCAGTCCCCCAGGCTGCAGTGCAGTAAGGTGATCTTGGCTCACTGCAACCTCCACCTCCCGGGCTTAAGGGATCCTCCCACATCGGCCTCCAAAGTAGCTGGGACTACAGGCGCACGCCACCATGCCCAGCTAATTTTTAACAGAGACGGGGTTTCGCCATGTTGCCCAGGCTGGTTTCAAACTCTTGGACTCAAGCAATCCACCTGCCTCAGCCTCCCAAAGCATTGGGATTACAGGCGTGAGCCACCACACCCAGCCCTAACTTCCCTCTCTATCCAAGGTGCTTTCAAATATGGTTTCCACCTTTCATCAGTAGATATAGCTTCAGGAACGGAAACTCATTTAACATTTGCCTAATAAAAATATAATTGAGAAGCTAAATATAGGGTGCCTCCCCTCAAAATTAGAATGATACATAAAACATACTCCATTCTCTTAGTTTGGTAAGAGTTAAGAGTTAATTATATTTTAACTGGCTTATTCTATTTTTTTTTAAGTTACTTAATAGTTTTTCTTAGAAATAAACAGGGCCATAGAATTCTGTTCAAACAAATTTTATTTCCAGAAAATTCTATAGTATTTAACTATTGTCAGGTTATTCTTCCAGACTGCTAAAATTTCGAAGTGGAAAAAAGACTAACAATTGACAATTAATCTTTATTACAGAAAGGCTAATTGCAAATCGTAGGCTATGCTGCAGCTGGCATTTACTAAGTGATTCATATAATAAACCAGAACATTCTAGAGCTGGGCTGTCCAATACAATGGCCACAAGCTACACATGACTATTTTAATTTAATTAAAATTAAATACAATTTAAAATTCAGTTCAACAGTCACACTTGCCACATTCCATGTATTCACTAGTCACCTGTGGCTGGTGACGAGTGTACCAGACAGCACAGATGCAGAACACTCCATTACTCCCATCACTGCAGCACTGCTCTAGAGCACAGGATTAGACTCCCAGGTTAGTGTAGCCCACAGAGGACCACCTTGTTACACATTTAAAATGCTTCTATTTAAGTTATAAATAGAAATGAAATCGTCATAAATCAGATTTAAACAATAGTTTTATATCACCGGTAATTTCAGCATCTATTATTCTTAATTGCTGTAGAATGTAAATAGTCCTCAAAGAAAAAATGACTATCAAGACGTATCACGCCAGGCGCAGTGGCTCATGCCTGTAATCCTAGCATTTTGAGAGGCCAAGACAGGTGTATCACTTGAGCCCAGGAGTTTTCGACCAGCGTGGGAAACATGGTGAAACACCGCCTCTACAAAAAAATACAAAAATTAGCCAGGCGTGGTGGCTCACTCCTGTAGTCCCAGCTACTCAGGAGGCTGAGATGGGAGGATCACCTGAGACCAGGAGGTCAAGGCTGCGGTAAGCCATGGTTGTGCCACTGCACTATAGCCTGAGTGACAAAGTGAGACCCTATCTCAAAAAATAAAGGCTCATAAGTAAAAGTGCCAAAATAACAAATATTTCAAAAACTGTACTTTGAAACTATAACTTGATTAAATTTAAAACCAAGCTGCATGGTGAACACAAGAATCTTTTCTGCTTGTGTATTAACAGCAAGGGGTCAGTGTTTTCAGTTAGGATCAACTGTGGTCCTAGCTGGATGCCAGCTATCTGTACCTAATTACAAAGTGACATCAGATGTCCTTAGCAAGTGCACACATGTGTGGAATAGCTATGTACCTTCAAACATGCTAACTTGTTCCCAGCATTTTTAGATCTTAACCATTTTCACAGCTTGACAGAGTCAAGGAAAAGCTATCCAATTAAAGGGTTTCTTCACGTTATGATAATTTTTTTAATGAATTAACATCTAGACTGCCAATTTGAACTTTAATATTTCTAAATATATTATCAAATATCAGAGACATGGGTATAACTTGCTTTTTAGATTGAGCTGAAATAAACCAGTCTCTTAAAAAATTTAGTTTGAAAATTACTCTGCTCTATTTCATTAAGATAAAAATGGGCCCCTCCAGGCCGGGCGCAGTGGCTCATACTTGTAATCCCAGCACTTTGGGAGGCTGAGGTGGGTGGATCATGAGGTCAAGAGATCAAGCCTATCCCGGCCAACATGGTGAAACCCCATCTCTACTAAAAATACGAAAAAATTAGCTGGGCATGGTGGTACATGCCTGTAGTCCCAGCTACTCAGGAGGCTGAGGCAGGAGAATTGCTTGAAACCAGAAAATGGAAGTTGCAGTGAGCCGGGATTGT